TTCCAGTCATATTTTGTATTTCATTTAGAGACAGGGTCTCACTGAGTTGCTTAACACCTCATTTTTGCTGAGGCTGGCTTTCAACTCACAATCCTCCTGCCTCAGCCTCCCTAGCCACTGGGATTACAGGTGTGCGCCACCACTCTGGACCACAAGGCTGTTTTATAAGGACATCTGCCATGTTGGATTAGGGCCCAACCTACTCCTGTACGATCTCTTTACTAATCACATCTGCAATGACCCTATTTCCAAATAGGTCACATTCTGAGGTACTGGTGGTTAGGACTTCAACAACCTTTGTGGAGGGACACAATTCAGCTAAGCCTTGGTTACTGGGACCATGTTGATGGTCCTTCCTCTTTTTCTTGGTAAAAGACCACTTGGTCTTTTGCAGAATCCCAGACCATGTAAAGGTCCATGCAAGTCCATTGGATGTTGATGCCCATAGCCTTTCACAGCTTAAAAGGCCTCAGGGCATAGCTAAGTATGGTGGCACACTCCTATAATCCCAGCTACTCCTCTTGCTAAAGCAATAGGATTGAAAGTTCAAGGCCAGCCTGAGCAACTTAGTGAGACCCTGTCTCAAAATAAAAAATTAAAAGGGCCAAGGGTGTTGCTCAGTAGTAGAGTGCCCCTGAGTTCATCCCCTGTAACAGGAGATGGGGGAGGCCTTGGGCATAGGGAGCCCAAATAGTCATCGCTGTGCGTAGCTCTTTGCAAAACCAAAATGCTCATGGGTTGGTACACCTTGTTTAATCAGAGCATCGTGGTACCCTCCTCTATCCCCCTGGATCCCAAAGCCCAACTATTCAACAATGCTGTTGCAGTGCAGAGGCAGCCATGGATGACAATATAAAACAAGGTGGACATGACTGTGTTCCAATTAAACTTTATTTGAAAAAAAAAAAAAGATGGTAGGTTAATTTTGATCCACAGACTGCATTTTGATGTACCCTGGGTTAAATTTAAAAAATATATTTAAGTGGATTTTACTCCTCCCCATGTGTCTGCTAGAAGATTCCAGGTTGCATATTGACTCACAGTGTTATCAGTATTAGACAGAGCTAAGTTAAGCATTTTATAATTTTAATTCTGGGTTAACTTACCTTGGGAGAGGGATGGAGTGGGGTGTATGGTGTGTGAATTCTCATGACAGTTTAGAGAGCTCCCTAGCCAGGTTCCCCACTTCTGAGTGTGGATCCCTGGAGCACTCCTGACTGCTTCCTGCTAATATCTTGACCTGAGGCTTCTAGTCCTAGATTTCCCTTGGGACTAAAGGGAAGTTCCTTGAATGGCCACCAGGTGATGCTGTTAGTCTACTTGGTCTCTGCCTGGCTCTGCCACCGCTTTGCTGTGTGGTTTTTGGACTTCAATTTCCTCCCTTGTAAAATGGAGTTAGACTAGACTAGTGAGGACATGAACTTTGGAGGCAGACAAAATTGGATTTGAATTCCAGCTCCATCAGCACCTCAGTATGACTTTTGTGGGTCCCAGATACTTTTCCTTTTAGGTGTTTTCCTCCATCAAAATTATTTTAAAATTATATTTTATAATGATGTCTGATATAAAGAAAAATATTAATACTGCATATTAAAATTTTTCTTCAACTAAAAGTTTATCATTTCTGAGGCTCCTAAAATTACTATTGTGCCTACCTTGCCCAATGGGTGAGTCAGTTCTATCCTCCTCTGCTCTAGTTGTGTGACCTTAGGCAAGTTGTTTAACTTCTCTGAGCCTCAGTTTCTTCATCTTCAGAGTTTGGATGATATCAAATCCCACCCTTTAGTGCTAGGATTGAAATTCAGTGAGATAGTGTACCATGCCTTCTTAAAACACAGCCTAGAACAGAGGAGGCTTTGCAAATGTCAGCTATTATTTGTTATTTTTGTCTTCTTTTCCACTCTAACCTCTGTGAATTGATGAACAGATCTCAAAACAAGCAGGAATCTCAAGGCAAATATCTCAGAATAATAAAGCGAAGTTTCCAGGGTATTTGATAGAGAAAGTAAAGAGTTTTCTAGAGAATAGAGTGGTAACAGACGTTTTTGCAAATGAATACAACCTCCCTCTTGCCATCAGAGAACTCATGAGAGGCAGGAACAGGGGCTTAACCACCCAACCAGAAGCTGAGCTAGCTGGAGAATATGTACCAGAAAAGGGAATCCTTGAGAAATATATGTGTATGTGTGCATGCGCTCATGCATGCATGTTGCATACATATATCCTTGCTTCTTTACATTTCCTTTGTTTTACTTTATTTCAGTAACTTCCCTGGACTCCTAAATCTTGAAGCCAGAGGTACCAGGGTCCTGTGGGTTAGCTGACTCTGTCAGGATCATTCAGGGAAGCTTGGGGGATTATTCAGAATGCTGACTCTTTCAAAATCATCATCATCAGACTTGGCAACAGATGAAGGTGTAAGCCTCTCTTAGCGGATCTGATTTCCACCCACACCTGCCTGGGCCCAGTGCCTTTTCTTGTTCTGGAAGGGATGAGGGCTTTGGCCTCCAAGTTAGTCACCCTTTACTGGTTTGGCAACTGCCCTTTATACTTGCTTTCTCCTACGATGAGCCAGGCTTGCTAAACTGGAGAAACCCTCCTCATCCCAACCTGGTAACAGGGACAAGGTAAAGGTCAATAAGGGAAGGTTTCTGTGTGTGAGGCAGGAAAGGGATGTTACTAAGGAAGAGGACATGACAAGGACTAGAAATAGGGGTGTCTTCATTTCTCAGAGCTTGGTTGCCAAAATACCTACTGTGGTGAATGATAAAGCAACAGAAACTTGGCAGGTTTCCTTCCATGGCAAAAAGGCATTCTGAATAATTAAATGAGAGCAACATGAACCTAAAGATGTAAAGCTGTCTACTGTGACAGAACAAGTTCTGATAAAAATATAGTTTCCATTTATCAAGGACTTAGTGTCATGCTCATACTCAATGTCCATCACCCAATTTAAACTTTACCTGTGAGCTCAATTCTCTTCTCATCCCTATTTTGCTCATTTAGAAATGAGAAGTGACCTACCTGCTTAGGGTTGTACAGCAAGAAGGCAGTACAGAATATGGCCCTGAAGTGACCATGCTATGCCTCTTCTAAGGAGGGCTAGTAGAGGAATTTCAAAATCTGGTCCTCAGATTACCTGCCTTTAGTATATCTGGGTTCAAGTCGGGGTGGTACCTGTTAAAAATACAAGTTCCTTGGGGCTGGGGTTGTGGCTCAGTGGTAGAGTGCTTGCCTAGCACCTGTGAGACACTGGGTTTGATTCTCAGCACCGCATATTGATAATTAAATAAAAAGTCCATCAACAATTAAAAAACATTTTTTAAAAATGCAAGTTCCTGGGCTGGGGATGTGGCTCAAGCGGTAGCGCGCTCGCCTGGCATGTGTGCGGCCCGGGTTCGATCCTCAGCACCACATACCAACAAAGATGTTGTGTCCGCTGAGAACTAAAAAATAAATATTAAAAATTCTCTCTCTCTCTCTCAAAAAAAAAAAAAAAAATGCAAGTTCCTAGTTAGTAACAGTGGCATAGCCTATAATCCTAGGATGCTGATGCAAGAAATTTGAAAATTAGAAGTCAACCCCACTCAGCAACTTAGCAAGACCCTGTCTTAAAATAATAATAATAATAATAATAATAATAATAATAATAAAATTATTATTATTTTAAAAAGGGACTGGGGATATATGCAGTGGTAAGTGTCCCTGGGCTCAATCCCTAGTACTGCAACAAACTAAAGAAATCATGGAGGTTCCTGGAACCCACCCCAATCTTCTAAGAGAGACTCGGGCACCTACAGCCTGCAAATTGGCATGGTAACTGGTTCTCTGGGATTCTGGTACATGAAAAGTTTCAGAAACTTTGGACAAAGTCAAGGCTGAGAGGGTGAGTTTGACCAGGGTACACACCCCTTCCTGAAAACCACTGGCACTCCTTGCCCTGCTTAGGCCAGGTGACCCAAATGGATGGGAGGTTTGTAGCTGCATTAGGTAGTGGACAATGAGGACAAGTCCTGTTCTTTGCTTCTTGTCTGGCAAAGTTTGACAGAATAATAGCTGGCAGGTGCTTTATAACCTGCTGTGGAGTAAGAAGAGGGGCACATCTTGTTGGGGAGGAAGCTCCAGGGTATCAGGATTTGCTGACTCCAGGTTAGAGCTATGACTAGGCTCCTGTTTAGTACCTGTTCCACCTTGTCCTTGCCTCCCCACTGATCAGAGTCTGGAGCCCATGACCAGGGCCCTTGCCCAGTTGGGCCAGCTATCAGAACTTTCAGCCCTTTATGGAAAAAGAATGATGCACTCTCTCCAAGATAAGCTCATTTGTCAAATGCTTGCTTGACCATTTTGAGCCTTGGAGATTGGAAAGTTTCCTGGGATGTCCGTGCCTCAGAAAAGCGGTGACAAATGTTAGCAGCCTTTCTGAGATTGTTGAAGTTAACTGGACATGTGGGGAAGATGGATTCTTTTAATTAGGCCTTTGGATTTTATTCCCTCATTCAGATGTTACATAATTGTGCATACCAGGCTGCTGTAGTTTGGATCCGGAGTGCAGCACTATTGGGAGGATGTGGAGTCTTTAAAAGGTGGGGCCTGGAAGGAGGAAGTGGGGTCACGGGGGCAGGGCGAGCCCGCGAAGGGGATACTGGGACCCCACCATTTCCTGTCTCTCTGCTTCTGGACGCCATGAGGCGAGTCTTGTGCGATGCTTCGTGCCCTGCACGATGTTCTGCTCCACTGCAGGTCCCAAAGTCATGGAGCCAACTGACTGTGGACGAAACCCCTGAAACTGTGAGGCGAGATAGACCTTCACTCCTTTACCTTTGATTTATCTCAACTTTCTGTCACAGTGACAGAAAGCAAACACAGGCGTATGGTCTCTTTTTTCTTGCATTAGTCGCACTGACCCAGACATAAGGGGGAAAGCAAGGAGCTGAACTCATGTGGTATGCCACACTTTATTTATTTTAATTACATAATGGTGCTCATTTTTTCACAAACTCTGAAAGTACACATAATTTGGTCAGAGGGGCTGCTTGTGAGACGGGAAACTAGGGAATAGCATTGCCATGTGACATTTCTTTTTCTGCTGATGCTTTGGCACTGTGAGCACATTTAGCCTTGCTCGTGTTACTACTTGAACAAAGGCATAATATCAATAAAAACAAATCAAAACATAAAAATGCATATCTTGGTATAGGCAAAGTAGTTCCATGTTGCTCTGCACATTTGCAGAAAAAATAAAGTCCCAGCCAGCCAACAGGGCATTTGTCACACTAAGACCCTCAACGAACTCTAGTACTGCCTTGGTGACAAATACAATGTGGTACATGTTCCAGTGGAGGCATAGGAAGTGGTGTCAAGGGCCCTTAATCCAGTCTGTGGGGCAGGGCAGGGCACCCAAGATGGAGCCAAGACCTGGAGGGAGGTAGAGCATATGATGGGCAGGGAAGAGTTGTCCTGCTGGAGCATGCAGTGCAAGGTATTGTCAGATGTAGGCTAATAGAAACCTTTATGATGCCTAAAGACTAAGCTCATGGTGATGAGAGCCCCTGAAGGATTATAGGGAGGTGATAAGAATGGGGATGAGCTGTGGACTGACTGGTACATCAGAGGATGACACTGGTGCTTACTGCGATGGCTGACTTGAAGGAGGTCAGTCTGGAGATAGGGAGAACAAGTGGGAGTGGCCTCATCCATCCCTGTGAGATATGATGGAGGCCTGATCTCAGACTGAAGGACTTGAAGGTGAAGTCTTAAACCAGTTAATTGCCCAAGTTATGTGGTGCAGTTGGGGCCTTGGCATTTCTGCTCATTTCCTAGGAATTGGATTCCTCGGAAAGCTGTCTGTCTGACATCCTCCTGCAGCCTCCAGCAGAACAGGGTTGAGTAAGGACTAGTGACAAAGGATGGGGCTTGAGGACCTAAGACCATTCTTTTGCATCACAAAGACAAACTTTTCCTTTAGGACAGTTCTTGGGAGGTATGAGCCAGAAGGGATGGCAGAAAATTTTCCTCCCAATTTGGCTCAAGGCAGAATTAACTCAAGTGAAAAATAAAAGCAGCTGGACGAGTCATCTTTCTAGAGTGTGCAGGGATCAGCTAATACCTGTTAGGACCATTTATTTAGAGGCAAGAAATAGTTAATTAAATGGTGCCTTTGTATTTAGGAATGATTGGGKTTTTTTTTCCTCTTTGGAGCAATAGATTTTTTGCGGTTTGTGAAGGCCCTTGAAGACTGTAGTTTAAATTCAACTGGAAAGTGGTCACTGACATCCAGGGCCTGTAAGAAGAAAACAGAATTAGTTTGAGAAATAGAAGATACTTGGTATAATGTTGTCATTTTGGTAATAAGCAAATTCAGGAATAGAGGGGAGATGAAATGCCTGAAGTCACCCAGTAGAACTGTTGAGAATGATCCTTGGTTTGGAGTCATTAGAAATTTTGGCAGGCCTTCAAATCACAGAGTCATAAGTATTGAGGCTGCAGGTCCAGTGGCCCAATGTGGCATCTTCATTGGTGATCTCAAAGGATTATCTGTACATCTTTCCAGGATGGTGACTCAGAAAGACAAGATGGCAGCCTTACCTCCTCTTCAGATAATTTGTAGGCTTTCTGGAAGTCAAAGGTGCCATTTGATCTGGGAACCACAGATTCGACTATCTCTTGCCCTCGAAGCACAATCCTGGAGCAAGGGGAGGGAGGACAGTCATGTTACTCCATGCTGTTGATTTTTAAAATCAAACCAAGATCTGTGTTTGACATCAGAAACTGTCTAAGCAGCCTGGCCCTTTCATGTGGTGCTTCAAGTCAATATCTGTGATAGTTTGCACCCTAGAGGACAGTGCCTACAACTGTAAAATAGGTTCTATGCTTGCTATGGCTCTATGGGCACCAGGACAGTGTCCCCTGTGTTGGCAGGTGTTTGGTGATACAAGAGCTGTTTTTATTCCCAGTACTAGAAATTAAACCCAGGGGCACTTTATCATGGAGCTTCATCTCTAGTCCTTTTTAGTTTTTATTTTTGAGACAGGGTCTCACTAAGTTCCTGAGGCTGGCCTTGAACTTAAAATTCTCCTGTCTTGGCCTCCTAACATGCTAAGATTACAGGTATGCACCACTGTGCCCAGCTTTAGGAGCACATTTTATTTAAAATCCATTGACACTGTACCTACCATGTAGTAATGGCTTGCATACTAAGAATGTTCCCCTTTCTGTCATTTTTTTTACTTTTTTTGATTTGATTATGGAGAAATTCTCAGGTAGGTGCTGGTTTATCTTAAAACCTCCCTAAGGCCCCAGTTTGACAAAAAGGACTGACTGCCACCTTCAAGGCAAAAAATTTAAGACAGAATTTAACACCGAGCTTCTTTTTTTTCTACATTTTTTTATTGGTGCATTATAGTTTTATATAATGATGGCATTTGTTACATATTTGTACATGAATACAATATAACAATATAATTTGGCCAATATTCAGCTGTGAAGAAAAATGTAATTATGTCCTTTAAAATTAATTTATTTCACTAAGAAACTAATGGATTTAAAGAAAAATATAAAGAAAAATCACAGTATAGGTGCTTTGTATTGATGACACCATTGGGAATTTGTTATTAAAATGGGTTTTGGCAGCAGACTCTAATATTAACCTAAGTGTGGTGAACCAGGTGGGGATATACAAGGTCCTGACTAAGGAATAGAAGGTAAGACAAACTGCCATTCTATGCTACTCCATTGAGCTTTCCAATTCCTTTTTTTTTTTTTTTTCTTGGTACTGGGATTGATCACAGGGGTACTTTACCACTGAGCTACATCCACGGCCCTTTTTATTTTTTATTTTGAGACAGGATCTGGCTAAGTTGCTTAGGGCTGGCTTTGAACTTGCAATCCTTCTGCCTCAGGCTCCTGTGTTGCTGGATTACAGGCATGTGCCACCCTGCCTGGCAAAAGCTTTTTCTTTTCTTTCTTTCTTTTTTTTTTTTTTTTAAACTGAGCAAAGAGCATTGAGCAACATATTTAAAGCTCTTCTGTTTCTGACTTCTAGGGATATGTATGGGTCTGCTCTTCATGTTGTTTTCCCACTCTGGGTCAGGGCACAGATCAGATCTTGAACATCTTTGCTTGTCCACCAGTGCTTAACACATGGGAGGTGTTCAATAAATATTTGAACACAAAACAAAGGCTTGAATTAAGGCCATCTTGTCTCAATCCTTTTTTTGCAGGGTTGGGGGGCAGAACTGAGAATTAAACCCAGGGGACTCTACCACTTAGCTACATGCCCAGCCCTTTAAAAACTTTTTAAAATTTGAGGCAGTATGTCACTAAACTGCTCAGGCTGGCTTTCAACTTGAGATCCTCCTGCCTCAGCCTCTCAGATATCTGGGATGACAGGTGCCACTGCATCTGGCCTAAGTCCATTTTTTAAACATCTTTTGTAAACCACAAAATATACATTGTTATGGAAGCCAGAAAAACTATAGCATCAAGATAAAAAAAACTAATCTTTAAGAAATTATGTGTAATCCCACTATCCTTTGGCATACATGTGTATAAATGAGGATCTTTTTAGGAAGCATCTCCCCTGCCCCCAGTACTGAGGATTGAACTCACAGGCACTCTACTACTGAGCTACATCTCCAGTCCTTTTTTTTTTTTTTTTTTTTTTTTTTAATTTAGACACGGGATTTTGCTAAGTTGCCCTAATTGGCCTCAAACTTGGGATTCTCCTGCTTTAGCCTCCTGAGTCACCAGGATTACAGAAATGCTACACCATATCCAGCTGAAACAACTTTTCTTAACTGGTTTCACCATCCAACCTGATCTGCAGTAGACATCTTTCCTTGTGATTAGCTACTCTTTTGCATCATTATTTTTGATCACTCCCCTCTCATTGGCAGATCAGTGGGACTGGAGAAGGGAAGTAACCTGTCCAAGGTCCCAAAACTGGCTTGGCTAGAGGCTCTTCCTGAATGAGGGAAAGAGGTCTGGATGCTCAGTCTCCTCTGACTTCCCACTCGGGTTTCCACTTTTGAAAGTTGAAGTGATGACGTGTACGAAGGAAACACTAGCCCTGAAAGTCCCAAGAGGAACAAAAGGAGGCCAGGGGATGGAAATGAAAGCCAGACCTTAAGACTGAGAAGTGAGAACTTCAGGCTGTTTCCCACAGATGGCCATCTTGTGACATCTCATGCTCACTCAGCAACAGGCTGAGCTCTGGGAACTGTGGCCACCCACTGGACCAGACTCTCAGGATTTCCCTGCCTGTGGTCTTTGATGTGGACAATCACTGATGTTTAATGCTTCAGGCACTCCCACTTCCCTCTACGTTGAAGAAGCAAAAGTGAAAGTCCTTGAAACTTTCCCAGCCAGACTTTAGAATGCCATTATTTAAATGTATTCACTCACTTTTAGGAATGTGTAGCAGAAGCTTTAAAAATGCAAATCTTTGCAGGAATTGCTCTCATTTTTATGCTTATACCCTGAGGAAATCAGAAATATTTGCACAAAATGAATATATAGGATGTTGGTTTCAACAGTGAACTCTTGGTAATATCTAATGACCAGTGAAGGAAACTGAGTCACTAAACTGTGATGTGTCTTTGTGATGGTATAGGGAACAGCCAATGAACGATTGAGCACTTCCATACCCCAGTTCATGTTAACAGCTTTATATATGTTACTTCATTTAATCCTCGTCTTCCTAAGTGAGGAACTACTAATCTCCAATTTACAAGTGAGGAAATGAGGACACAAAGAGCTTAAATCATTTGGTCACAGATACATTAGGTGGTAGAATCAGGATTTGAACCCAACCTGTCTGACATCAGAAGCAGTGCTGTGAGGCTTTGGTGTATAGCTCAGTGATAAAGTGCTTGCCTTGTATGTAGAGCCCTGGGTTCAATCCCCAGCACTGCTCCCCTCCCCGCAAAAAAGGCAGTGCTGATTACTGCTAAGCGTTAATGCTCAGGTCAAAGAGTCATGCAGTTCATACACTGTCAGGGTCTGTGGTGGCAGGTTCTGAAATGGAGGTGACTTGGCTCTCAAGCTATGTGCTACATATGCCTAGAGGGAGCTGGTCTTTCTAGCTCACAGCAAACACTGTAGGGGCTAGCAGGCCTGCAGAGCCACCTACCTGTCATATGCACAGTTGGTACTCTTCTTAACTGTGGTGTCCTCTTGGTCCCCAATCAGCCAGATGAACCTCTGGTCAGTTCTTAAGCGAATGTTTTTCCAGGCCTTCTTGGGGACATAGCTGCAGCCAGCATTAAAGTCACCCATGAAAATGAAATTCTGAAAGGCACATTTTGGGAGCATCAGCTGGTGGTCACTGCTACACAACACTTTTCCCAGAGATTACAAGCAGTGACACTACCTCACCTGCCCAGTTAACAAAGGGGTCTGTTAGTAACTGAATTGTGTTCCCACCCCAATTTATACGTTGAGATCCTGACCCCCATTAAGGAGTAATGTGACTATGATTGGAGATAGGGTGTTTTAACAGGTAAAAAACATCAAATGTGGTCAGATGGGTGGGCCCTAATGTCATGGGAGAAGAGATGTCTCCAAAGAAGGGTCCAAGGAGTTCTTAGAAGAGAGAGGGAGCTCAACTCAGGACCAGTGGGGTTCTTGGCATACATGACAGAAAAGAATTTCAGCATGAGCCAAAGACATAGAAGTTTATTTAAGAAGGTAGATATACATTCAAGGGAGAATGTGGGCTGTCTCCAGAGAAGCAGCCCTGACTTGGGCTACTGGTCCAGTATTTATAGAAGGACTGTATCAAGGGCTGGATTGGAGGTGGATCTAGGGGGGAGCTGCACAATATCACTCCAGTTTTCCTTCATTTTACAAGAGCATGGGTCTAGGTTTACAACTGTTTTCTCCATCTCAGTGGCTTGACTCTGCATTTCAACATCTTGTGGGTATTTCCCTTAAGATTCCATATTTCTCTCTCCTTATCCTAAATCCCTGTCTCACTAATCTAATAGGATTGGCCTTCTTAAAAAAAGAGGAGTGGTGGGGATTAGCTCATGCCAGCACAAGGCCCTGGGTTCCATATCTAGCACTGCAAGGAGAGGCTAAAAGGCGATTAGCATACAGAGAGACACTTAGAAAAGACAGTTGAGACAAGGGAAGAAGATGACCATCTACCAGCCAAGGAGAGAAGCCCTCAGGAGGAAGCAACCCTGCTTACTTTATTCTTGATGTCTAGCCTCCATAACTGTATTGTTTAGCCCACCCAATCTTTTGTACTTTGCTATGACAGCCCTTAGCAGATTGATAATGGGTTTGTCTTAGTTTTCTTTTTAAAAGAACAGGCGGCTTTACAACTGAGTCTGAAGGCTTTTTGTTTGTTTGTTTAACTTTTATTTTATTTATTTTTATGTGGTGCTGAGGATCAAACCCAGTGCCTCACACATGCTAAGCAAGTTCTGTACCACTGAGCCCCAACCTCAGCCCCTTGAGTCTGAGTTTTGATGACTGCCTGGCAAGTGAGTACGAGGAAGGTGAGATTTTTTGTTTTGTTTGCAGTGTTGGGGATGGGCCCAGGGCTTTGTGCATGCTAGACAAGCACTCTACCACTGAGCTATATCTCCAGCCCAAGTAGGGTGTTCTTAATGGGAAGAAGGATGTTTGCTCTCATTGCTACCTCTTGTTCTTAGTCACCATGTGTGTAGTTCAGCTGCAGAAGTAGGTAGGAATAGAACCATCTATCTAAGATATTCTCATGCATCTTTTGTCTCTGGCCCACATTGCTGCAGGACATAAACATATGAATGAATCAACATCTTTGTTTCCAAGCCAGAAAAATGTACTTGGGTGGTGTGCTGGCGCCACTCTCTCTCTCCTATTGTTTTGAGATTGGAGACTTATTCCTGTGGAAATTCAGTCTTTGGAGGAAATGGGAGGAGGTTTAAGGGGAGGGGGTCATTGGGTGAGGTGTTGATCCCCACCCTAGGCCACCAACAGAAACTTTCTATTTTGGAAGTATTTTTCCCTGCAGGGCTCTTAGAATAGCATTTTAACATTCCATAATACAGAGGAAATGTCAGATATCCTTGTTTGAGCTATTGTTTGGGGTAGTTGCTGACTTCTGAGTTTTCTTCAAGAACATTTCATCTTGACCTCAGCAATCAGAATTTCCCCTGAGATTAATAGGCACAGTTGAGGAAAGGATGACATCCCTTCCTAACCTGAGTGATCAACGTCTTCTAATGCAGGGGTGATTTGCTGAACATTCACTATAAGGCAGGGCCAGCATTAAATGTTTTCTAAAATTCAAATTGTTTCTTACAACAACAAACACTAGGAGGTAGGAGGCATCATTAAACCCAGTAGAAACAGGATAAGGGGATTAAGTGACCTGCTGTAGGCTACATAGATCAATAGTTCAAGTGGTAGAGAAACCCARTCTGCCTCACTGAAGGCTCCTCATCATAAATTTCCCCTTTTGTTTACCTTTGGGCACTGATACCACCCCAGGGCTGATGCTCAGTAGATGATCAATATATTCTTGTTGAATGAATGAATGATTTCATAATTTGGGGGATGAATAGATGAGACTTTCCCTTGTCCTGCTATTTACAAATAAATAATTAAAATGTGGCCCTTGTCCATTCCATGTTCCAACTCTGATCAACTGTGTTCACATTTCGCTCATTTTGCACTTTGAACACGGAACTGAGGAGGAGGAAGGGCCATCATAGGAGGCACATCTCGAAAGAAGAAAAGGGGAATGTGGCGAACAGTCTCCAGAGCACTTCCACATTTGCCAAAAGCTTCCAGGGACCCTCATGGCCACAGGTGGTCCTGTTCCTGACCTCCAGTTGAGGAAATAATGTGGCCCAGGAGGGATGACAGACATAATTTGCTCCTCCATTCAATGAGCCCCTTTGAGAACTTGTCACTTGCAATGGAAACACCCCTGACTTCTCTGTGCCTCTCTTCTTAGTTACAAAGTAGGACAGTAACTTCCTGGGACTATTGGGAGGATTGAGTACACTTTTGTTTTGGTACCAGGGATAAAATCCAGGGGTAGTTAACCACTGAGCAACACCACCAGCACTTTTTTATATTTTATTTAGAGATAGAGTCTTGCTGAGTTGCTTAGGGCCTTGATAATTTGCTGAGGCTGGCTTTGAACTCACAGTCCTCCTGCCTCAGCCTCCCCAGCCACGGGGATTATAGGCATGCACCACTTCGCCCAGTGAGTACACTTATTCTTGTGAAGCCTCAGCACTGTGCCTAGCATGAGTTAGTCACTCAGTAAAAATGTTGGCATCCATTATAAATTGTTCAGAGTGAAAGACCTAAGCAATTTCATTCTGCTTGGGATCTTATTTTGCTCTGAAACTTAACCTCTGACTTATTGTAATCCTAAAGTCAAGAAAAAATCTACAGAAAAGCTCTGTGGAAACAGTTCAGTTCTCTGAAAAGCCGGAAAATCCACAGATAGGCCAAGATAACCACATATCTGAAATTCCACCTAGGTGTGGTGACCAATATCTAAACTAGAAGCCCTGCAGTTTGGCACGTATTCCCCTTGTGACATCCTCACGGTTTAAACCAATCAGTTTAAATGAATCCCCCTCTTGTAGTGACCAATCCCTCCTACCCAACTTGTTCCTGCTAGTAAATGTGCTAATCATGTTTTAGAATTGTTATTTGATTTTCCCGCGGTGTGTGATGATTTGCTAGGAGATGTTATGATGTATGTGGAGGTCCCTGCCTTCTCCAAAGAATGTATAAAACTGCTGCAAAACCTGGGCTCTGGGCCTCTTAGCGTCACCTGTTGCTGTGTGTGTGCGGAGGACTGAGCTAGCTCGCAATAAACACCTCTTTGCTGCTTACATCGATCTTGGGTCTCTGGTGGTCTTTTGGGGGTCCCGAATTCGAGCATAACAAGAGCATGAATTCCCTAGTCCTACATGGATGGTGCCCAGGCAGATTTAGCAAGAAGGATGTTTAGGGGTTGGGGTTGTCGCTCAGTGGTGGAGCACTCACCTAGCATGTGAGGATTCTCAGCATCACATTAAGTAAGTAAATAAAAGGTATTTGTGTCCATCTCATGTGTGTTTATGTGTGTGTGTATTTAAAAAAGAAGGATGTTTAGGGCTGAGGAAAGATCTAAAGTGAGGCTGGTGGTGGCCTGCACGTGCCTGCCCCCTCATCCTCCTTCACATGGACAGGACTTTGACAAACACAGAGATGCTCACCTCTGCATTCCAACGCCATTTCACATCCTTGTAGACTTCAGCCAACTCATCAATCTCTTTAATGGATGTCTCCGGGGTGGTATGCAGGGGGACAATCACGAAGTCCTTGACAACTAGGAAAACAGGAAGCATCAGAAGTCTCAAGCTTTCCTTGCCCAGCACCCTCCAACACTGCTTGTGGAAATAGGCGTTCCCTTCTAGAAGGCATGAGCTGTATGGTGTGGGTCCAAAGATCCCATAGGGTCTAGCCAGTGGCTAAGATTTTAATGATCTTGAGTCATTGGGCTGCTTATTTTTAGTACATGAAAGACTTTTTCTGTTGGGTGCCGTGGCACAGGTCTGTAATCCTAGTTACTCCCTAGGCTGAGACAGAAGGATCACAATTTTTAAAAAAATATTTATTTTTTAGTTTTAGGTGGATACAATATCTTTATTTCTATACTTATGTGGTGCTGAGGATTGAACCCAGTGCCCCATGCATATTAGGTGAGCACTCTTCCACTGAGCCACCCCAGCCCCAGAAGGGTCACAAATTTGTGGACAGCCTTTGTGAGACTTTTGTGAGACTTTGCAAGTCTCTGTCTCAAAAACTAAAAAGGGTCAGGGATGTGGCTCAGTGGTAGAGCATGCTTGTGTTCAATCCTCAGCAGGAACACCACCACAACAAAACTCTTTTCTACCACTTGCCCTTCATTGCTAAAAGAAAAAGAAAGCTGGTAGGTAATGTTCCTTGCTAGCATTGTGGATGTTTTCTCTCTCCCTCCCTCCCTCCCTCCCTCCCCCTACTTCCCCCCTCCCCCTACTTCCCCCCTCTCCTTACCCCTCCATCCCTTTCCCTCTCTCTATCTCCCTTTTTCTTGGAAATCTGTATTTTTCTACTGGTTCATTTTATTAGTAAAAATTGTACATATTTGTGGTTTTATTTCTTCTGCTTCTTCTTTCTTCTTTCTTCTTCTTCAATGCAGGAGCACTCTAACATTGAGCTATGTCCCCATCTCCTTTATTTATTTTTGAGACGGGGTCTGTCTAAGTTGCTCAGACTGGCCTTACACTTGGAATTTGTTATAGGGCAGAGGCTTGCCACAAAGCTGAGGCAACCCCAGAGGCCTTTTCTTTACCTTGACTCTTGAGATCATGTTAGAAAGATTTCAGATGAGTCACTTAAAAATAGCAGGCTTGAGTTTATTAGAAGGGATAGGAGAGGGGAAAGGGGGATACTCTCAAGGGAGAGAGTGGATACTTTTAGAAAGGAGAAGGACCTCTGGTGAAGGAGTTCCTCCTCCCACTGTCTTGACAAGGTCACAGTGAGGATGAAAGTCTTTGGCAAGGCTACACTTTTGGAAACAGAAACCATGAGACCCTTTTTTATGTAATTGAGACTTTTTATTTTATAAACCTAATAGAAGGCATGAGTATACTTATTGCTAAGCCAAATTAAATTCTAGAGTATAACAGGTGGTTCATGACTTAAAATGCTGTTTTACTATCAGGACATTGAGGACAAAACAGAAAAGTATCAACAATCATTCTGGGAAATGTTACAGGAACTCTAGGTACCACAATTGATTATATCAACTAAGAATCCAAATTCATATCCTCGTCTCGCAAAGAGCCTAAGCAGATAGTTATGCCTATTGTACGAAGCCCACTATATGTAGCCTATTTGATTAAGGATAGGCTATGGTATTCATCCAGAGGAGAAAAGGCTAATAAAAATATATTTCCCTTCTAAAAGACCCTCCTTTACTTTACACAGGGACTTATGATAAGCATAGTTAATGTTAATGGCAGGGGGATTGACATACAGAGCCTGCCCTTTAGTTAAAGATTAGTAAGGAACTGGTGTACTTTGACTAAGGAAAAAAAAAACTCTCTGAGAAAGCAGCTCAACCAGTTTTATGAGAATAAATGTTGGCATTTTTAGATGCTTTTAGAATATACTGTAAGATTGTTATAAGGGGACTTTTAAATGGGATCCTAGATTAGAAATAAAGTACAGGTGTGCTTTAATGACAGGTTAGGAGGCATAGAGTCTGGTTACATAGTTTGGCATCCGTTAAACAAGGAAATATTACATCCTGGGAAAATCTGGAAATTGTAAATTAATGATACATTTTACTAATGAGGAAAGGCAAAATAAAAGGAGACAGAGAGAAAGCAGTTTTATAGCTCTCTCTCTCTAGAGGTTGCTCCAACCGAATGACTCCTTGTCTCATCCTTTGTGCTGGATGCCACTCATCCTTCAGGACCCCCTGACCTCCTGTCTTTCCTGTCCTCCAGGTTTAGTGGGGTTCCAGGGAAGTTTCCAGAGAGTTCTGCCCAGGTCCACCTCTTTACTTTTGATAGTAGGATGACAACAGACTTTTAAGTCCCTACTGTGCATGAAAACTCTAGGTCACTTTGGCCCATGCTGATCAGTTCTAATTGGAACCAGTTCTTACACATTTTTATGGTTAAGGGGAATTATCCTTAGCTGCCTGAGTTGTGGGGTCTGGTTTGTGTAAGGATCACAAAAATCCCCCCTTTTAGGGTAACATTGGCATTTCAAGCCTGCATCCCTCCTGCAGATAACAGGTTATTTGCTGAGGAATTTAACATATCCTATTGACTTAAGCTAGCAGAGCTGTGGGGAAATTGCCTTTTTTTTTTTTTTTTTAAAGAAAATAGTTGGTTGTGGTGGCACATGCTTGTAATCCCAGTGTCTCTGGAGGAAGAAGCAGGAGGATCCCAAGTTCAAGGCCAGCCTCAGCAACTTAGGAAGACCCTAAGAAACTTAGCAAGACCCTGTCTTAAAATAAAAAATAAAAAGGGCTATGTATGTGGCTCAGGCTGGGTATGTGGGGGTCAGCACAGTGGGCCCAGTTTATAGAATTATTCCCTTAATCTTATATTCTCAGTGCCCATGTCTGTTCCTTACCAAAATTCTCCTGCTTCAGCCCTGAGTTGTTGGGGTTAAAGGCATACACCACCACACTAGGCTATATTTTATATTTTTAAAAGTGTAAATTTTTTAAGTTTTTATATTTTATATAAAGGGAAATTTTTTTCTAATTAAAAATTTTTTTTGAAAAAAAATTGCGACCAGTTCATACTCTTTTTGTAATCAAGAAAAAAGCCTAAAAAATGTTACTTAAAAAATAAGACAGACTTGGGCTGGGGATATGGCTCAAGTGGTAGTGTGCTCGCCTGGCATGCTTGCGGCCCGGGTTCCATCCTCAGCACCACATACAAACAAAGATGTTGTGTCTTCCGATAACTAAAAAATAAATATTAAAATTCTCCTCTCTCTCTCTCTGTCTCTCTCTCTCTCTCCCTCCTTCCCTCCCTCCCTCTCTCACTCTCTCTTTAAAAAAAAAAAAAATAAGACAGCCTTTTGTGGAGTGTTGAAAACCTTCCCCCACCACTAGGGATCTGTGTGACCATGAAGGCAAACATCAGAATCTTGCTTGCCTGCCTGCCAATATCAGTTGTCCTGAGCATCTCCTCCTCTGACTGGGTCCCCAATCCTGCCTCAAGGTGAGACTGTGGGGTGATCACTGCTCAAGCCACACTGGGGAGCCATCACTTAGACCAGCAAGAGATTCCAAGGGGCAGGCTGATACCCCAGCCACCTCTGCTGGGCACCTCCTTAGCCTCTGCTTCATTTCCCAACCTCTCTGATCTCCGGCCCTCTGTATGGCTGGCTTTGACAAGTCAGAGCCCAAGGGGCCATCCCTAGTCACCCCATTCCTTGTCTTCTCCAAGAGGCCATCCCTAGACACCCCATCTAAAGTAGGCCCCCCATTCCACTATCCAGTGAACCCTGTGATTATTTCCTTCATACTCTGAAATAATTTTCTTTGCTTCTTCTGTATTTAATCCACTAGAGGTGGGAGCAGACTTGTCTGTCATGTTTACCCTCTTTGCTCTATTATCTAGCACAGTGCTCAGCACACTGAAGGTGATCCAAAATGATGGATGAATGAATGGATTGGTGGATGGATAGACAGATGAATGAATGAAATAGCTAAGTCTTTCCATCTTTAATCCCAGATCAAGGGAACATAGATTTCCTGATTCAAGAGAGAAAACTCCATAGAGGGAGTGCTGTCTCAAAAGAGAGGGGATGGCTAGGGAAGGGGTAGGATGGAGGCTCAGGGCAAACTGGTTTGTTTAATAGTTCACAAAGGTTCAGGACTCTTGAGAAGAAGTAATTATTTGGGGGTGGGGAAGCTTTCCCTTGTCATCCAAATACAAATTGTTTATATGACAAAAAAAAAAAGGATTACTGTACATGCTCTCTGAAGGGCATTTACCACCCTCAATATCCTCCTTCTCCTCCATGTTTATTTTCTGGAAATATTCCTTCCTGAAAGAATTAGCCCTGGGCAGAAATAAAACTTCATGATTCAGGATGTTTGTATTGGTGTTTATATTGTTTATATGACAGTATAGATGATATAGATGTACATGTAGGTGAACTTATAAATCTACATATATTTGGTAATGGGGATTGAATATAGGGCTTTGTGCATTATAAGTATGCATTCTACCATGGAGCATACCACTAACCCAGCATATATTTATTTGGTCATGATCTGTATGCCCTGCTAAAATATAACTCCATGGGGGCAAGGAGCTTTCCTGTCTTGCCCAGTGCCCTCAACATAGCCTGGCACTTAATAGGTACTGAAAATATATTTTATTCTGTGTGGTTGCAATCTTCAAACCAAATTTAATTCTTGTCTCTCCATTGAGTGCTGCATAGTGGTTAAGAACATGGGCACCTGAGACGGTGGCTTGGATTACAATCCTGGCTCATCCACTTGAATATCTGGGTGACCTAGGAATGTGGCTGTACCTTTTTGAACCTCAGTTTTCTTAAATGTAAAGAGGAGACAATCCTAGTCCCTATTGTGAAGTGTGTTGCAAGGGTTATAGGAAGCCAACACTCAATCAGGGATCAATAATATTGTTGTCAGAACTCAGGGTAGAAATGATTTTGATTTCCTGTCTCCTGGCAGTAGTTCATGGATGAGACTGCTACCTAGTGACTGCAAGGAGAATGAAACTTTCAGCCATGGTTCACCTTTGGTGGTCATTACTGGGACTTTTTAGACTTTTTGTACTGGGGTTTGAACCCAGGAGTACTCTACCAAGGAATACATCCCCATTCCTTTTTTAAAATATTTTGTTTTTAGTTGTAGATGGACACAATATCTTTATTTTATGTATTTATTTTTATGTGGTGCTGAGGATCAAACCCAGTGCCTCATATGTGCTAGGCTAGCGCTCTACCGCTGAGCCATAAACCCCAGCACACTCCGAGCACTTTTTATTTTTTATTTTGAAACAGGGTCTCACTAAATTGCTTGGGGCCTCACTAAGTTGCTGAGGCTGGCTTTGAACTTGCAATTTTTCTGCCTCAGCCTCCCAAATCGCTGGGATTACAGGTATGTGCCACCTAACCTGGCTCCCTGGGGCTGTTTAAAATTAAGGAATACTGTATTTGAGAGGGACCATGGAATTGCAGCAAATAATTTCCACGAGCCTAAATACTACATGGAAAGTAAGAATAGAATATTTATCACCGATCCTGGGAGATGAGATCCAGGTTGGGTGGTCTTGCATTTTAATATTCTGAGAAGCAATCCTAGTGCCATCAAAGTACCTTCAAGGTATCAGAAGCAACAGCACATCTTCATCTCAAGCCTAGTGTCTGCCTCCCTGAAGATGCTGCATGTGCCCCGGGAACCCTATCCACATGGTATTCAGGTCTGCCACCCTCTCATGGGCCACTGAGGAGGTTCATGGATAAGAGGGCCCTGGGGGTCTCACCAGTGTGTGGTGACTGGAACCAAACCACAAAGGGCTCCCTGGAAAACACATCTGTATCCCCATCCTGATAATCATGGTAGAGGTACTTCTCCTTTACAGACACCAGCTTTTCCCTAGAAGAGAGAGAGAAAAAAAAAACAGTCTATTGTTTGCTTACTTTGAAGAAGTAGAGATTTAGGTCCCCTTAGCTTTCAGAGGAGGCTCCAGCACTGGCAGCATTTTTTGCCTGAGAACAAGGCTGAGTCAACTCTTCATATTGCCTGGACCYTGGGGAGTTGAAGATCTGGGCTGTGCTAGTCATCTGGGACTCCCACAAGGGAGTGTTCTGACAGAAATGACTAAAGAGAAGACTATGAAGTTCAGGAGTCAGTCATGTTGGGCAACTCTGGTTTCCAGCCCCAGGCCAGGACTTGACCATGAAAAATAAAGAACTATCCCAGGCAACCATCAAGTCAACCAACAAATTAGGTGTTAGAAAGCTGCTCATGTTTTCCAGTTTGAAGATTTAATGTTTTGTATCCATCCTAATTTTGATAGCAATTATTTTTATTGATATTGAGAATTGGTTAGAAATCAAAACCTGGTTTTGAAGAAAAATTAATTTTTGACTAAATTTGTGTTCTCAGTTTTAAGTAGAACCAGACAGCATAGATTATACTTACTTGTAGATAAAGGCATACTGTTCTTTATATGTGTTTCTTCCAAGACGAGAGCTAATCACATAGCTATATGTAATGTCTCTCCTTGAATTTCTAGAAAACATAAAGATTTCACACTGTATCTTAAAGAATGAATATCCCCACCCACCCCAACCCCCCAAAAGAATGAACATTCTGTGCTGCACACATTCTCCTCACTCCAATCTGCCTTCATATTCCCTATGGCATTGTGTGGAAGAGCTACCGATCATTATAGCTTTTCAGTCTGATAAGAAGAGCCACCATTGATTGGAACTGTGATCTGCCAGACCTTTACAGCCTTTGTTTTTGGGTTTTTTTGTTTTTGTTTTTTTACATTTTATTTACTTATTTGTTGTGCTGGGGATCAAATCCAGGGCCTTGAGCATGATAGGTAAGCACTTTACCACTGAACCAAGCTATATCTTAGCCTGGCCCTTATTTCTTAGCCTAAGAAAGTAGGTACTATTGTTAACCTCCCCTTTTGTAGTTTATGAGTACAAAACTGAGATTTGAACACAGATCTGACTCATTCCCCAACCTACAAGCTGTGGCCTACAACTGTTGAGACCATAGGTAATTCAGGCCGGCACAGAAAACCTGCTGGGCTGCCACCCATCCTTTCTGTTGGAGTCAACCTTATCACGTGGCCTTGTCTGTGGCAGCCCCTAAGCATTCATCACATGTGAGAAAATTCTCTCCTCTGAAACTCAGGCATTTTCTCCCAAGTATGGGGACTGTGATTTCAAGTCACTCTTGTTCATGTCCTGGAGATGGGAATATAGTCATGACAGCCCATGAGCCCCACCTCTCACCTACATCGGGGAAACTACTCCTTGTGCCTTTGTCAAACCAGCTGGTGACTCCACTTTGGGCAAAGCCTGACACAGTTTCACTCCATCTACCCACAAAAAGATCTAGGACCTGCCTACAACTGTGGCAGAGTCTCAGTGTCTGTTGGGAAAGAACAGAGTGACTATTTAGAGCCAACGTGGACTCTGCAGAAATTCTGGTACTTCAAAGACATGTTCTAAGCCAGACTCGGTAATGGGGCCTCAGGAGTGAGGATGGGTTCTCAGTTCAGAAAACTGGCTCTCTCCTGAATCCAGCCTGTCAAGGCCTGAGTTGCAAATTGTATGCAGTGACTCAGCTGTGAGGTGACTAAGGCTCTTCCTGCCTATGGAGGACAAAAAGATAGCCTCGGTGACTGTTAAGTACAGTGACAGAGTGTACTCTTAACATGCAGGAGGCCCTGGGTTCCATTTCCAGTGGGGTGAGGGGAGAGAGAGGAAAACAAAAGGGGTGAGGGGAGTCGGAATCCATGGCATAGTCAAGGCAGGTTGGGGAGCACTAGTGGTAGCACTAGGTTGACTGTGGGGAGATGCCTGGAGTCCACCTGTACCCCACACTCCTGAAAACTGACCGGGGCCACTCCAAGGAAGACCAAGGGGGCTAAGAACAGAGCACTGGTTTTGAGTCTAACATGATTTGAGTTAAATGTAGGCTCAACCATTTACTGTCTGGGTGACCTTGGGCAGGACTTTCCTCTTTGTGCCTCAGTTCTGTCAGCTATAAGGGAAGCAGTAATAGTACCCACTCCACTGGGTTCTCTGGGGAGTAAATGAAATAGCACACATAAACAGATTGGCAGCTGCCTGACCAGGAGTTGCGCGTGACCCCTTGGACGTCACCTGCTATTATAACTCCTTTTCATTTAGTAATTATAGACACCACTGGTACTTACTGATCATGCCTTTGTGCCTCATTTGGGGGAAATGAGGCACAAAGAAGTAATTTGCCCAAGGTTGTGGCATAGCCAAGATCAAAATCTAGGTAGTCTGAGCAAAGCATGGGCTCCTAACCCCTATGAGGTGTCTCTGTCTCTACCTTTCAAAGATCAGATCCAGAAACAGAAGACCTGGTGAGACTAAAAACGATACGCTTATCTGGACTATTTTCAGATAAGAAACTAGGGCTAGAGAAGGGTCGGGGCAAGTCTAAGAGGCCCTGTGGAAGCAAGAGAACATTCCTAGTTTTCCCTTACCAGGTCTAGTGAGTCCAAATTGACCCTTCCTTGCTAAAGAACAATGTGAGTTTTCCTAACTATCAAAGTCTAATAATGGCCAGATGTTTCTGTTTGTTAAAGCACAGTTTTTTGGCTTTTATGTATATTTGAGAAATTTCATAAGAAGGGGGAGTGTAACATTCTTATTGGAAAATGTAGAGAAATTACTCTTAAATTGCTTATAAATTTGTACCCTAAAATAGTTACTGCCAATATTTGCTGAATTTCATTGGAATCTTGCTTTTTTAAAAACAATTGAGAGAAATCGAGTATGATGTTGCACTCTTGTAATTCCTGCAATTCAGGAGGCTGAAACAGGATGATCCCAAATTTGAGGCCAGTCCCAGCAATTTAGCAAGGCCCTAAAGAACTTAGTGAGACCCTGTATAAAAATAAAAAATAAAAATGGCTGGGAATGTAGCTCAGTGGATAAGCACCTCTGGGTTTAATCCCTGGTACCAAACAAAACAATTGAGAGAGCATGGTACCCATTGTGTACTCTTGTTTGTTGCTTAGTCTTATTATTTATTTATAACACACCCATTATATTAGAAGTTTTAAAAAATTAAGGCATGTCAAGCTGGAGGTGTAGCTCAATGGTAGAGCACTTGCCCAGCATACACAAGGCCCTGGGTTTGTGGATTTCAATACTATAATAAATAAACAAAAAATTAAGGAACATCAGAATCACTCGGAAGCTTGTTAAAATACATATTCTCTTTCACAGATATTCTTATTCATTGGGGTGGGGAGCATGAATATACATTTAAACCCACTTTGGGGTGGTCACTTGGGTAGGTTTGGGTAGGTCCAGTTCTCATGGTTTGGAGAAGTGTCCTCTAAAAGCCCAAGAGTCGAAGGCTTAGTTGCCAACCTGTTGAGCTATCATGATGTATGGAACCTTTGAGAGGTGGGGCCTGGTAGGCGGAAGTTAGGACACTGGGAGCATGCCCTTGAAGGGGCTATTAGAACTCTAGTCCCTTCTCTTTTCTCTCTTTCTTTGCTAGCCTGCTGCCATGAGGTCAATAGGCCTCCCCAACCACACATGCCCACCATCATGTTCTGCCTTACCACAGTCCCAAAAGCAATGCAGACAACTAACCATGAGCCAAAACCTTCAGAATTGTGAGATGAAGTAAACCTTTCATCTTTATAAATTGTTTATCTCAGGTATTTGGTACAGTGATTGCAAGCTAACTAGTGAGTTGAATCTGCTACTCATTCAGAAATAATATAAACCATAAATATCAGCTAATGTCATTTAAAACTATTTGAGGAAACTACTTTTTTGTTGCTAATATTTTTTAGTTATAGATGGATGCAATAATTTATTTACTTTTTTGTGTGGTGCTGAAGATTGAACCCAGTGCCTCATACGCTAGGCAAGAGCTCTACCACTGAGCCACAACCCCAGCCCCTGTTGCTTTTATTTTTAAATTATAAAAATCAACCTGGACTGATTATAAAACATTCAAATTATACAGAAGTATTAAAAAGTAACTGTTCTCCATTCCTTAAGTGACCCATTCCTTTTCAATCACGCCCCCCTGGAGCTATTAACAGTCTGGAGCTCCCCTTCCAGTCTCTTCTGTGCTTTCCCAAACACAAATTTGCCCTTATTCGTGGAAAATATAACATGGGGTCTAGAATGGGTTGCTGTACTTACAGATCTAAACTTTGTATTTTCAATATATTTCAGCTATCTTTTCATGCTAGAATATTACTTATTTTGTAAGCATTTTTTTTTTTTTTTAGTACTAGGGACTGAACAGGAGGTGCTTTTCTATTGAGCTATATATCCCCAGCCCTTTTTATTTTATTTTGAGCCAGTCTCACTACTGCCCAGGCTGGCCTTGAGCTTGTGATCCTCTTGCCTTAGCCTCCTGTGGAGCTGGTATGTATAATCATGTCTGCCTTGTAGTAGGTGGATTTTTTTTTTAACAGTTGCATGATGTTCCAGCCTGAAAATACATCATAATTGTATTTATCTTACTTCTATTGTTAACATTCAATCTTTATAACAGAACTTCTTAGCTCAGAATCTTGTTTTCATTTCTGTATTAATTCATCACCTATTCCCCTTGTTTTATTTTATCATATTAAAACCATCAGGTAACAGTTTTAGGACCATGGCTAAGAGAGTAAGAAGTCTGACCAGCACTGGCCATCTGATTTTTTATGGTCAGAATAAGTGCTGGCTCTCACATCAGTTTCAGACTTCCTTCAGAACCTCTGTCCCTTCCCCCTTGTATTTACCCGTTCAGCTTATCCATCAGCATGGGACAGATCCTATTGTTGCTGTCCTTGATTTCCATTAAGAGTATAAGGTCACAGCGTTTGATGACCTGCAGAGAGAATTCCCAGAGGGTTGAAACCATTTACTATAAATTATAAAACCTTTTATTAGACACTTATTGTGTTTTGAGTATTACATTAATGTTTGTTAAAATAATTTCTTCCCTGAGTTAAATGAAGGACTCTGTAAAGTCAGTGCTTTTATTAAGTTCATTTTTGAGATAGAATCTCCCTATGATGCCTAGGCTAGACTTAAACTCCTGGGCTCAAGTGATCCTCCTGTCTCAGCCTCCCAAGTAGCTGGAACATAGGCACAGATACAGTTGTGCCCAGTGGGTTTTTGGTATTTTTTATTTTTATTATTTTTTGTATGTCAATTTTAAAGATAATGAGACTGAGGTTCAGGGAAAGTAAGATTAATTACACAGCCACCCAGTTAGAAAGTGGCCAACACAGAGTTCGAACCCAAGCAATCCAGAGCCCATAATCGTGACCCCTGTACATCCCACCTCTTGGCTTTGCTTGAATAATTCCAATAATAATGGTAACAAATACTTATGCAGCCCTTGGTAATTAAATATACCAAGCTGGGTACTACAGAAATTAAAAGATATAATGTTAAGAGTTAAAATTTATCATGAACCTACTTAGTCTCACAACAACCTTATGAAATGACTGGTTATTATTCTACTAAACAGGTGGAAAATAAGCTCAGGGTGGTTGAGTGACTACCTAAAGTCACACAGCCAGTATAGATGGGAGATTTGACCTCAGATATATGACTACAAAGTCCACCATGCTAACCTCTTAAAATAAGGCTCTGCTGTCAAAGTCTTATAGTACAGTGAGAAGGACAAATTACAACTAGCAATAATGGGAGGAAAACATATTTGTGCTGTGGGAGGTGTTGGGGAATAGTGAATTGCTTCTGCCTAGAGAATCAGGGAAGGCTCCTAGGGGGAAGTAGCATTTGAAAAGTCCCTGATGGTGAGAAGGAATTCATTGGAAAATTAATATAAGAGAGATCCTTCAGGTTGATCAACAGCTTTTATCCAAGGTGCAGATCAAGCTTGTACCGCTTGGTGACCTCACAGGCCTTTCTGTGTATGGGATCCTGGTGACTTGTTGCTCAAGGATAAGGCACCACTAAGGTAATTTTGTCCTCTTACATGGCCACCAAAGAACATGAAACATGAACATTATGTCACTGTCCCTCCATTTCCACAGCATATGCTTTAATTCTGTCTTCAAGGGGTAGAGCATGAAGAGATAGCAGCACCCTATTGTCTAGATTGCCCTGTGACCAGGGACTCAGCCTTTAAGAAGCTGGGGTTAAGAACCATCTGTGTATTGACTGAGGAGGAAGATTGTGTCCCAAGCTGGGATCCTTCTATCAGCAAGGCTTGAAATCCATGGCATTAGCTGCAAAGGGATTAACGGGCTGGGTGCCACTGGTCAAGCTACCCTGCTGGTTTAGCCACTGGCAACTGCCACATCTTTCTGGAAGAGACTTTAAAATGTATATTTTCTTTGATTCAGTTTTCCCACTTTGAAGAATATCTTCTATTATAAGAAAATATCCACTACTTCTCTGCACCTCATCTATAAATTGGGATGAAAACAGTCCATCCTTTACAGGGTTGCTAAAGGGTTAGTACTTAGAATTTTGAACAGCACCAGGCATGTAGGAGGCACATAGTAGATTATTATGATTACTTGTGGAGATCAAAGAGGAAGATGCACTGCAAAAAAAAAAAAATGGAAAYAACTTAAGCATCCCCAAATAAGAAAGCATTCAATTTAAGGTGTTACAAATATCAGACAGAGCATTATATAACATTAAGTCATGTTTTGGGACTGCAGAAATAGCTTTGTGGTAAAGTGCTTGCACCTAAGTCATGTGCAACACCTTGAGTTCAATCCCCAGTACTATAAAAAGGACATTTGGAAGCAGGGTTTGTTTCGGCTTTTGCTTTGTTTTGTTTTGCTATTGTTGTTGGTTGGTTGGTTTGTTTTTATGCTGGGATTGAACTTAAAAGTCATCTTTTAGAAGAATAGTAGGAGGAATTTGTGGGGAGGAGATAATGGCCAGATTTTATTAGGACATGACAGGTACATTCCTAACTTATTAGACAGAAGTTAAATGAGTTGTCCTATATAATGAACCTAATGCTGTGGCTGGCACACAGTAAAATCTTCATAAAAGGTAGTTTTTATTACTGAATCACTAAATTTTCATTGTTACCCTTTGAAGTGGTCTTGTTAATGTCCCTACTATATAGTTGGCTACTCTGAAGCTCAGTGAGTTTTTGTAATCTGAACACCAAAGGAATATGGGATAAAGGGACATCACACTTGAGCCCCTTCTTGACCACTACGCTCAGAAGCCAAGGAGATCAGCATGTACTTGTGATAGCTCTTTCTCAAAGAGCAAGGTCTTTTTGGGCACAGTGGCACACATCTATAATCCTAGTGACTCAGGAGGCTGAAGCAAGAATATAAACTCGAGGCCAGCCTCCGCAATTTAGTGAGTCCCTAAGCAACTTAGTGAAACTGTCTCAAAATAAAAGATAAAAAGGGCTGGGAATGTACCTTAGTGGTAAAGCACTGCTGGGTTCAATCCCCAGATCCCCAAAAAACAACAACAAAAAAAGTCCTTTTTTGTGTGACCTATTGGCATTGGTACAAAGCAAACATAGGCCATGAGTTCATTCTCCCTTTGCTGAGAGAGAGAGCTCAGCCTCCAGATTTCCTGTTTACAATCCATGTGTTGCTTAACAAGCACTTCTGAGCCCCACATCTCTCCAGCTGTTACTAATTTCTACTTCCCTTGGCTGGTCTCCTTGGTATCTCCGGGAATATTTCTTATAGACAAGAATCTACACTGCAATGAGCCTATTTTCAGAATTCTTCTCAGTATGGAACCTGTAATTTCAGCCAGTGGGCCTTCATTCATCCATGTATGTATCCTCCCACTCCCACCCATCTCTCCATCTATTGGTTCATCCATCTAACTAAATTTCATTATGGGTCTGCTGTGTGTCAGAGCACATGCTAGTCCTTAATTTATTCACAAATTTATCCCCAGATCCTGCTGTAGCATCTGGCATGAATGAAAGAAAGACAGGAAGGAGGAGAGAGGGAGAACCACTCTAGAACCAGTTGGGGCAAATTCATGAAGCACACATTATCTTTTCATTTTTAAATATTCCTTGTAGCATTGAAAAAATGGGAATTATTTCCCTATTTATTTTTTTTTAAGAAATAATTTTGTTGGGCTGCAGATATAGCTCAGTGATAGAATTCATGCTTAGCACATGTGAAGCACTGGGTTCACTCCCCAGTACCATAAAAAAAAAAGTTTGTGTTGTAATTTTTTCTAATAGTAAAAATAATGGTGCTTTTTGTAGAAAGTCTAGAAAATTCAGAAGACCGAAGATTGTAAAAGTCACAGATGACCTGAAACCCCACCACCCAGACTTTTCTCATGATTTCTATGCTTATTTACAAGATTGCCAACATAGTGATTAACTCATTGGTTCTAACTGTGGACTTTGAGTTAAATGGCCTTGGGGTTCATGTCTTGACTCAGGGTCACCAGCTATGTGACCTTAAGAAGTTCACCTAACCTCCCTGAAAGCCCAGATTCCTTATTTGTGAACTGGGAAAAATAATACCCTTCCTATGGGAATTAAAAGACTCCCCATAGGAATTAAAAGACATAATGTATATAAAATGCTCCACCTAGTCCCTGACACAGAGCTAGCCACACACAGCCCTTTAAATTCTCAGCAAACAGTGGTGCCATTTATCATATAGTTTTATTCTTGCCTCTCTAGACTAAAATTATATTGTAAGCATTTCTCCCACTATGATTGAATATTTAGTTTTCAAATACAGTCTTGACACATTTTCCTTACTCCAATTTCAGACCAGAGGATTAGGAAAAAATGTATTTCTCCTGGTTTCATCTCCTCGGGAGAAACCTGCAAGGATGAGGGCCCCAGAGCCAAGCCTTGAAACTCTTGAGATTTCCCTGACTGAAGCCAAATTCCTGACTGTTTATAGGAAAGGAGTGAGAATTTAAAGGGCTGTGTGTGGCTAGCAAGGATGGAATTGGGCAAGGGGTGTCATGATTGGGCCCGGGTAAAGGAGAAAGGACAGTCTGGAGGACTCTAGAAATATCATGGACAGAGTAAGGCTCATGAAATCATACTTCATGTCTCTAACCAGGGAGCAGCATAGCATGGTGGGGAAAACCCTGTGTTCTAGCCCTCACCTTGCCACATATGTGCTTCACAACCCTGAGCAACTTACTTTGTCTCCCTGGGCTCCTGGTGCCTTATCTATAAAATGGGCCTAACAACTAGAGTAGTTGGGAGGCTGAAATTAGATACTACTTATTAAGGGCCCAGCACATCAGAAGCACTCAGAAACCATAATTATCATGTGCAGTAAGCTCTGGGAAGAGGAAGACAGTGCCTTCCATGTCCACTGTCCCACCTCCAGTGCCTTGGAGTGTCTGCCACATCATCTGCCTTCAATGAATATTTGTTGGATGAACAAGCTGTGCACTGTAAGGGCACAAACTGAAGAACATAAGCAGAAGCAGGTTTTCCTGGGCAGGGTGTAGCATCTGGAAAACTGCCCATGGTAGGGGAGGGCAAACCCAGATGGAGAAGACGGCCTACCTCATTCTTCAACCTCCCAGTAAAGGTGAGAATGACAATGCAGATATGGTGAGTTACCTCCAAAGTGACAAGTCCATACGAGGAGTAGAAGAGGCATCCCAGCTTACATGGGTGAGTTATGTGACTGTATCTGACGCAGACTCTTCCCCACTGGCTATGGAAACCTAGAGAGTCACTTCATCACTCTGAGCTTCAGTTTTTTCAGTTAAAGTGGGGGAAATGCCACCTATGTCATATATTAAATAAGAATATAACTCCTGGCCTGTAATAGGTGCCCAGTTGACAGATCCTGAAGGCAATACTATTTTGAATCCCTGGCATTTGGTTTTAATTTTGAGTGCTCTTTTAAGTGGCTCTAACAGTGCTTTAGAATGGCCTCTGTTTACAGGATGGTTTTGCAGTATTTAGGAGGGTAAGGCAGCCTTGATAAAGACTTTATACACACTTGGTAGGATACAATAGCCCAAGGGAGATGCTTTGTGTAGGAGTAGAATCACCACAGGAAAAAAAAAAAAAGCCTATAAGATTGTGGTGACATTTTCAGGGTAGAATAAGTGAACTTGGTTCCCAGGCTCCATGAGGCCATGTGTGAAGAAGTGAGGAAATAGTCAGAGTTCCCCGTTGAGCCACATGTCCTGGCCCCCACAGGCTTGGCACAACTGTCCTGTTTAAACAACGTCTAGAGGTCCCCGGGTACCATTCAAGGGACAGGGCTGACCAGGGTTGAGGACCGTCAAAGGAAGAACAGAGAATGTCAACACCATCTCTCCTGACAACACAAACACTTGCCTGTGGCAGGCTATGCTGGGGGTCTTACCCCCTTGAATTCTCAACCAGCTGGTGCTGGTGCTGTAGGTGGTACAGCCTCATTTTATGGGAAAGGCCTGGGAGCTGAGGGAGGTGAAGGGACTCCAGAGCTCTTGCACCTGACAGGTGGGATCTGAACCTAGGGCTCTTTGCCCTCCCACCACACCATGGGGCCTCTGGGGTTTTTTTGTTTTAAAATATATACATATTTACATTTTAAATATATACATATATATATTTAGTTATACATGGACACAATATCTTTATTTTGTTTATTTATTTTTATGTGGTCCTGAGGATCGAACTGAGTACCTCACATGTGCACGGCGAGTGCTCTGCCACTGAGCCACAGCCTCAGCCCACCTCTAGGTTTTTTAAAGCAATAACCACCACACCAGAGTCCTGGGAAACAATTTAGTCCCAGCATAAAAACAACAACAATAAAATTAACCTGTCCAACAAAGAATAAACTGACTTTAGAGAACTGTGATTTGTGGCATCTGCAAATACTGGCCATGTTACCAAGGACAGCATTATCTAAGTGCAGAGAAAGAACAGAATTGAGAGTTGGGAGGAAATCAGAAAGTATACTTCATGGATGGTCTGGAAGACCAGGCTGGGCTGGCATCCCAGCTCCCTCTCCCACTCACCAGCTGTTGGTGCTGCTTCACCTTTCTTTGTTCATCATCTCTGCATGGGGAATAATAATCCTTGCTTAAATAAAATCATGTGTTTACAGTGCCTGACACAATCATTCAATAACTGGTCCTAAAATTATCCTAGCCAGTCAATCCTTTTCTGTAATTTACTACGAGCCAGATACCTGTATTAATAGGCTTTATATTTACCTGTTCAGGGGGGCAGGCAGTGGAGTTCTCCTATGGGAGGCACTGTTATCAGCCTTGTTTTAAGATTTTTAGATGATGACAGGAGGTACTAAGAGGTGAAGAAGTGGTTATTGTGACGACTGCTATTCTTATCAATACCAATTCCAAGCCACCTGCTACCTTCACCCTGAAGGCAAAGTTTAAATTCCTTCAGAGTCTCCTAAAGTCTGAAGACAGAGGAGAGGGCATGAGGCATGTCCAGGATCCCACTGATGGGAATAGGGGCTCACCTTCACAATGACATCCATGGCATTTTGGTTTTCCTTCTTGCTTTGCCCAAAGGATCTCACGTTGAAGGAACAGAGCCTCAGGGCCAGGGAACTGTCGAGGGTGAGGAGGAGAAGCAGCAGGGTGGACAGACTCAGGGACATCCTGGCACTACTCAGGCTTCAGGCTGGGTGAGAAGACAGCAGTGCTGGGAGTGCAGGCTTCCGCCACCTCCCGGCACACTTGACTTATATAGCCTGTGGATAACAGGAATGACTGGATTCCTCTTTGCTGCTTTCACTTCTCTGAGGAACTGAAGATCATGTGTTTCAATCCCCAAGGAAATGAAGATACTGGGCTAGCTTTTTAGGAGCCCCTGTTATTGTCACCTTGGTAAGAAAACTGGCATGCCTATTTTAGGCACCATCCTCTACAAAGTCACTCCTATCTAGACCAGAGCCAGCTCTGACCACTGGTTTTCTCTGCTGTGGTTGCATGCTATGGACCTTTCCCTGACATTTCATCAACTTGGAAGCAGTCTACCCAGAGGCACCTGGGGCAGAGGAGCCTTCTGGGGAACAATGAGGCAGTGGGCAGTGGAAAATCCTGCCGAGTTTTATATAAATCATTGGGATTTGGTGGCCAGCTGTCCCTAGATACACCCAGGCAGTTACTCTCTAAATACCCTGATGGGCATAAATTAAACTCAAATTGTTTGAATGACATAATTTTTAAGGCAATTTTACTATGCACAACTTAAACAGTGTGTTGCCAGGGATGGCAATGCTGATCTGCTAGGATGGGCCAGTAAAATATCCTTGGACTTCAAGGACAAATAGCCTGTTTAAGCCTGATATTACTTTAATGTTTGTGGGATGTTCTTTGACCCCAAGAAAGAAAAGTTCTGCAAGAATTATAGACTTCCATCTGGGCGTAGTGGTGCACACCTGTAATACCAGTGGCTCGGGAGGCTGAGGCAGAAGGATTTCAAGTTCAAAGCCAGCCTCAGCAATGGCGAAGCACTAAACAACTCAGTGAGACCTGTCTCTAAATAAAATACAAAATGGGGCTGGTAATGTGGCTCAGTGATTGAGTGCTCCCTGAATTCAATCCCCAGTACCAAAAAAAAAAAAAAAAAAAAAGCCCAAACTTTCTTAGAGTTTGGGCAGGAAGATACAAAGATCTGAAAAGCAAAGGAAATATAAATCTACTCAGGTTATATTTGTGAAGTTTGGCAAGGACAATTCTGCAAGAAAAAGATAGAGAATGAGAATAACTCAAAGCTAACCTTGGGCTCTTCAGACCATCCCTCTGAATTGGCAGGACTGTGACTATAGCCACAGGGAAAAGCATATGAAGGTTGCAAACATGACATCAGTCAGCATTCAGAAGGCCACTCATGCCCAGGATATCTAAGAGAGAATCTGAAATTGTACATGGATGGAGACAATGGTTTTCTTGAGCTCTTGGATAAGATGAATTTCCCCACTGTCTTCAACTTCAACCTCAGGCCTTTTTGAGTCTCTGGTAAGAAGTAGCTCTCGTTAATTTAATTGGATGGTTAACTATCTCCCTCCATGAATGGATTTCTTCCAGCCAGAGGAAGATATAGAATTAAGTGTAAAAATGCTCAAGAGACTCAATCATAATACAAGCGTTTGCATTTAAAGATGAAATCTGGTGTACCCCTGTAATCCTAGCAACTCAGGACACTGAGGCAGGAGGATCACAAGTTTGGTGCCAGCTTTGATAACTTAGTGAGGCCCTGTCTCAAAATGAAATACAATGGCTGGGGATGTAGCTCAGTGGTAAAATGCTCCTGGGTTTGCTCCCTAGTGCCCACCCTCATAAAAAGGTGGAACCTGTATATGTGTATTTTTTTTTGTTGTTCTAATTAGTTATACATGACAGTAGAATGCATTTTGGCACATCAGACAGAAATGGAGTATAACTTCTCATTCATCTGGTTGTACATGATGTAGAGTTACATGGGTCATGTAATCATACATGCACACAGAGTAATAATGTCCAATTTGTTCTACTATCATTCCTACCACCATGCCCCCTCCCCTGCCTTCACTCCCCTCTGTCTAGTCCAAAATACCTCTGTCTCTTCTCCCTGCTTATTGTAAATTAGCATCCATTTGACCTTTGGTTCTTTGGGGATTGGTTTATTTCGTTTAGCATAATATTCTCCAGTTCCATTTATTTACTGGCAAATGTCATAATTTCATTCTTCTTTAAGGATGAATAATATTCCTTTGTGTATATATACCACAGCTTCTTTATCCATTCATCTTTTGAAGGGCACCTAGGTTTGTTTCATAGCTTAGCTATTGTGATTGAGCTGCTATAAATATTGATAGGATGCTGATTTTAAGTCATTTGGGTACAAACCTAGGAGTGGGATGACAGCATCAAATTGTGATTTCATTCCAAGTTTTCAGAGTAACCTCTATATTGCTTTCCATAATGGTTGCACCAATATGAAGTCCAACCAGCAATGTATGAGTGTACCTTTTTCTCCATGTTGTCGCCAACATTTATGTTGCTTGTATTATTGATGATTGCCATTCTGACTGGAGTAAGATGGAATCTCTGTAGTTTTGATTTGTATTTCTCTAATTGCTAGAGATGTTGAACATTTTTTAATGTATTTGATTGATTATCTTTCTTCTTCTGTGAAGTGTCTGTTCAGTTCCTTAGCCCATTTATTGATTGGGTTATTTGTTTTTCTGGTGTTAAGTTTTTTTTGAGTTTTTTATATATCCAGGAGATTGATGGTCTATCTGAGGTGCATGAAGTAAAAAATTTTTCCCATTCTGTAGGCTGTCTCTTCACATTATTGATTGTTTCCTTTGCTGAGAAGATTTTTTAAAAAAAATATCAGGTTATATTCTTTCTTTCTTTTTTTAAAAGATGGACAAAATATCTTTATTTATTTTATTTATTTTTATGTGGTGCTGAGGATCGAACCCAGTGCCTCATACGTGCTAGGTGAGCTCTCTACCACTGAGCTATAACCTCAGTACCTTGGGTTATATTAATTCTTTCTTCCTTCCTTCCTTCCTTTATTTATTTTTATGTGGTGCTGAGGATCGAACCCAGTGCCTCATACGTGCTAGGTGAGCTCTCTACCACTGAGCTATAACCTCAGTACCTTGGGTTATATTAATTCTTTCTTCCTTCCTTCCTTCCTTTATTTATTTTTATGTGGTGCTGATGATTGAACCGAATGCCTCACACATGAAGGCAAGCACTCTACCACTGAGCCACAACCCCAGTCCCGAAAAGAAGCTTTTTAGTTTGATTCCATCCCATTTGTTGATTCTTGATTTTTCTTCTTGCACTTTAGGAGTCTTGCTAAGAAAGTCAGTTCCTAAACTGACATGGGCCTACTTTTTCCTTCTGTTAATTGCATTGTCTCTGTTCTAGTGCCTAAGTCTTTGATCTACTTTGAGTTGATTTTTGTGCTGGGCAAGAGGGGTTTAATTTCATTTTGCTACATATGGATTTATGTTTTTGCCACCACCTTTTATTGAAGAGGCTATTTTTTTCTCCAATGAATGTTTTTGGTGCCTTTGTCTAGTATGAGCTAACTGTATTTATGTGGGTTTGTTTCTGTACCTTCTATTCTGTTCCCTGGTCCACTTATCTGTTTTGGTGCTAATACCATGCCATTTGTGTTACTATGGCTCTGTAGTATAATTTAAGTTCTGGTATTGTGATGCCTCCTGCTTCATTGTTCTTGCTAAGGATTGCTTTGGCTATTCTGGGTCTCTTATTTTTCCAAATGAATTTTATGATTACTTTTTCTATTTCTAGATAATGTCATTGGGATTTTAATAGGAATTGCATTAGATCTGTATAACAGTTTTGGTAGTATGGCCATTTTGACAATGTTAATTTTGCCTATTCAAGAGCATAGGAAATCTATCCATCTTCTAAGATTTTTCTTTAATTTCTTTCTTTAGTGTTCTGTAGTTTTCTTTGTAGAGGTCTTTCACTTCTTTTGTTAGATTGATTCCCAAATATTTTATTTGAGACTATTGTGAATGGTGTGTTTTCCTGATTTCTCTTTCAGTGGCTTCATCACTGAAATATAGGAATGCATTTGATTTATGGGGGTGTTAATTTTATATCCTGCTACTTTTCTGAATTCACTTATTAGTTCTAGAACAATTCTGGTGGAATTTTGGGGATCTTATAAATATAGAATTATGCCATCAGCAAATAGTGATAGTTTGAGTTCTTCTTTTCCTATTTGTACATGTGTATCTTAAGAACTTATATAACATCTGAGAAATTTTTGGCCTGTTAAGTTGACAATTTTGAAATACAATATAAAGTGTGCAATTAGGTGGATGAATTATTAGATTTGTGACATTTATTTATTTTTAATTTTTATTTGTTTTTTGGGGGGGTACCAGGGATTGAACTCAGGGGTACTCAACCACTGAACCCCATCCTTAGTTTTATTTTGTATTTTATGTAGAGACAGGGTCTAACTGAGTAGCTTAGCACCTCATTTTTTTTGCTGAGGCTAGCTTTGAACTCTCAATTCTTTTGTCTCAGCCTCACAAGCTAGTGGGATAATAGGCGTGTACCTCACACCTGGCTAGATTTGTGAATTTTTAAGTTGGAACCTTGCCAAGTTTATGTACAGATCTGAAACATTTTTAAGGACTTTGGTTAGTACTATCTTTGCAGATTAATTTATTAGACTTAGACATATTTAGTACCAAAAAAGGTGACTTTTAAACACTTGTTAGCTCAAACAATTGAAAAACTTTAAAAAGTAAGAAAGATAGGCCATATTAAATCTGTAAAAGAAATTTTGAGTGTTTGTAAATAGGTCCAAAACTGCTTGAAAGTAATTGTTTAAGTTATGGGGTTTAGGGTTTCCAGATTTAGCAAATAAAAACACAAAATGGTATATAGATTAGAATTTTAGATAATTTAATTTTTGTTTGTGTGTTTGTTTTTGCACTGAGGATTGAACTCAGGGGCACTCGATCACTGATCCACATCCCTTCTACCACGCGGCCTGCGCAGTGGTTTCATTAATGAGGTTCTAGGCATAAAGTTAGTTAGACGAGATCGAAATAAAAACACAAGACTCAATTACCTTAATTCTATTGCTAGGTCCGAGACGGCTCCCCTCTCTGGTTCGCTCCTCTAGCCGCCCAGCAGGGCAGCAAAGATTACTCAGGGCTAGCA